GCTGCAAAAGGGAGTCAATCCCATAGACTCCCCATGTTAAAATGCCCAACTTTACAGCAGAAAAAAAAATATGTTTACAGCCTGGTACAAACATTGGTTTTGGTCTATATAGCTAATTTTGCCCTTCATGACAACTGTGAGGGGGATGAATTTTTTTTTAACTCATCCGTTTAAATTATATTGAGCCTTAAAGTTCTGCATAATTAATGGCGTGGCCACTTGAGTGACAGGTGGATTGCCGCTGCTGTCACCACCGTAGAGCTAGGCGGGCGTGGATTCAGCAACGAGCTCCACCCACGTCCCGCCTCTTCGCACATGTACGATTATCCAGGAGTGACTCGTGGTGACGCGCTGCCAAGATGGCGACGGCCCGCTCCGCCCACTTTATGCTTCAAAAATGCTCTTCAGAAACCTTCTGGGCGAATTCCAAACAGAAGTGAGCATCCCTATGCCCTACTCCCTTCGAAGGGCAGAGCCCTTGAAGTGTGTTCTTTGAAGGGTGCAGGGTATTACTGTCTCGTATAAGCGTTTGGAACTCCCTTGGCGAAGGGAATGACTGGCCAAATGTTACCTTGACAATGCTGCGCGTGCGTGCAGCATTCAGCACTTCACCAGTTGTTGCAAATCTATATTTCTTCTCATTATTATTATTTTATTCAAATATTGTCTAATTGTGTCTTACTTACTATTAAGCTTTTTCAAACTAAACTTGCTTACACTACCATCTTAAATAATATTTCTGATGAAAAATATTTTGTATTAGGCCTACATTAAAATAAAGACAAATTTAATTAACCTATTCTACTTACGTTTGTGTCGAAATCAACCACAACTTTGCTTTTAAATGCGTCACAAGATCTCCTAAATGAAGATCACATGATCACAAACGGAAATCACTTCCGTGAAGTGACCATCACATGTTCCCTTCGCTAACGGACTTCTGGAAGGGCCCTTCGCGAAGGGATTCAGTTGTTCACTTTCGTTTAGAACGTCCCCACAAATGGCGTCCCCTTCCAGAAGTGCCCTTCAAGGGAGCAAAAAAGCAGTTTGGAATTCGCCTTCTGTTTCTAAAAAACAAATATGGCGTCTGAAAGTTGCGTTTGGTGGTCAGTTTGTGTATAAATGTCTATTTCTGACTAACTTTTTGCACTTTTGATGTTAGTTCTAGCGAGAAATCAGTATTATAGTAATTACATATTCATTTAGTTATCACCAAAACTCGTTCTATTTTGTTTTAGATCATTAAACCGTTATGCTGCCTCAGAAGCCTGTCCGAAATCAGTTTCATTAGGTGCCTTCGTGCAAAAACGCTGCCTGCTAAGTCATCTGATAGGGCAGTGAGGCAGCAAGTCAGCTGCCTAGGCTTTCAGACGCAGCCAATATCTTTATTTATCATGCACTTTTTTGTTAACAACTTTGCAGACTGTTTACATTGAAGGATAGCTACGTTACAAACTGCAAAGAATATATTTTTCAAAAACCTATATGACCTGCTCTTTAAATCTCTGTAGTGTGATTTGTGTCTGTGTTTCATCTGTGGATCAACAGCACCATCAGTAGCTCAGTCTGGATCAGCATGTTATCAGGAGTGATCTGCTCAGTTTCCTCTGACTCCACTAGTTCTGTCTGATTGCTTTTGCTGTTCAGCTGGGGGTAATTTGCATTCACACTGAATAATTTCTTCACAAACGAGGTACTTTTTTATGGTGAACACATAATTTCCCTTTTTGGACACAATAGTGTCTGGAGCTTGAGCTCAACTGAGTTGTCAGTTTTCTGGTCTTTTCTTGTCTTACCAGAACTTACTCTGCGGTGGACTGCATGTGATCTCTGATCATGTGTCTCTTGGTTTGGCGCAAGTATAATAATATCATCAGAGATTTTCTCCACTCCCTCAATACCTGCGAGTGCTCATGCGACTTCATGTTGGTTTGGTCATGTTGAACTGGTCTGGAATTATTGCTTTATTTGCCCGCCTCATATGCAAGCGTTTGCTCAAAACGGCATCTCACAGCTGATTATCTTTATTTTACAGTCTTTAGCAGCTTGACTGAAGTGAGTGAGAAACCGTTGCAGTGTCATGTTGTTTTTGTCTCACTAATGCGGTGTTCACTTGTTAGCAAGTAAGCATTTAGAGCAGTGGTTCTCTACCAGGGGCCGGGGCCCACTAGAAGGGGTTTTCCTGTTGGAGAAGAAACTCAGCAAGGCTCAGCAGAAGTATTGTGTTCAGTGGATCTGTATATGGTCTGTTTCCAGTCTAGCCCCTCTGCCTGAGTGTTTTAATATGGTCACATCACCTCTGCCCATTTTGGTGTTGTCTTCACATGTAGACTTTATTTGCCTCACAGAACTGTTGAAATTGAGCAGACATGAACTGAGGGCCACAGTCTGATCTGATGATAAGGGTCAAAGACAAATGAAAAACTTCCTCACATACTCTAATAGCAGCTATAAGGACTAATGCAGTGTTGGAACAAAGTAAGCATTTAGAGTGTCATAATCCGTAGCTGCTGAATATTAATTATTTGAAGATATCAGAGAACACTTTTATCCACACAGTTCTAGCAGGTAATCTGTTCCTGCTCCATAAAGCCATTAGAGAAACTGAAACAATCGAGATATTTGATAAGAAATGAAGACAGTTACAGGAGAGAGCAGAGCCAAACACTCTCAGGATCTCATGAGCAGATCAAACGCTGCTTTAGGACACATTTCACATGTTATGTGTCAGTTTCTTTCTGTTGAAAATGACACCATGGATCTACAGGAAGTGGACGCCTACTGGAGCTCAATGTGACGATGTTCAGAGTGTTAATTAACCAGCCAAAAAAAAAAAAAGTGCCAGACAATCACATGCATTAACACTTAAAGATGTGCAGTTATTGTAGCTGAAGGGGGAGTTTCACTTCATTTTACTACAAATGAGCTTCATATCAGCTCATCTGTCATTTGATTGCTGAACCAGTTTTGAAGAGTTTGAGTGCTTAAACTTGTGCTAGATTGAAGTCAGTAAAAATATTCTTTGGTAATGTAACCCAACAGGCACCGGATAACATCAGGTTGACGTTGGACCCCCAACATTAGACAGATGTTGCATTTTGGTTGAGAATAAAAATCAGGTTGACGTCAGTATTTGACATTGACTTAACGTTGGATTTGGGTTGCTTTACAACACCTAAAAACAACAAAATATCAACGTCAGCTGATGTCGGTATTAGACATCAAATTAACATTGACATTAGACATTGAATTGACATTGAATTTTGGTCAACCTACATCGCAACTGAAATTTAACCAAATATCAACATCTTATTAATGTTTATTAAAGTTTTTATTAAATTCACATTAAATACAAAGTCAGTCGTATTAATGTTTTATGCCATGACACCCCTAAGTAAAGTACTTAAGTAAAAATTCACGTTTTTCAATTCATGTTTATTTGTATTGTGCCTTTCACAAAACAAATCGCTGCAAAGCAGCTTCACAGAAAATTAAAGTTTCTACATTATATTTATGAGTAGCTTATCAGTGTTGACTATGTCAAGGTGATGTCCATGGCAGAAATGTACAGTAAAAATCATGCAGTTAGTTAATGACGTATTCAAACAAATGGTGAACACTATTACCAGCAATGATTATATATATATTGCAGTCAAACTTATAGCAAAATTTGGTAGTTTTGTATATTGGTTCAGGTTTGTCGTCATCTGAGTTCCTCGGCAGGATTGGCATCATCTCTCAGGTCATCTCAGAACTTCATAAGGGCTGGATCCAGACTGAAGCTTGTGTAATTCCTAGTTACCTCGGAAACAGAGAAGCAAAAAAAGACGGGTTTTATGCCTCGTTGATAGATTACTCTTACATTAGTCTACATCGCTATTATAGATTAACTAACATGATCTATTACGATGCAAAATGCATTTACTTACACATATTCGAGAATCGAGATATTTAATTATGTAGTTCACAAGTTTGGTGCCCCCTCAAATATACTAAGTGCATGACGCACCTGTAAGTGTACATAATTGGGTTGACAGATGTAGGATGTTAATAACAGTGGAAGCACGTCATCTCAGTCTGTGAATGTTTCTCCTCTCAACTGTTCATCCAGCAGTCGGCGCTCCGTGCTTCACAGGCTTTTTTGTCTCGGCGGAGATGTTGGTTCACTAAAATGTTTAATGTTTTGAGTGTGATTTTCCAATACTTGTTACTGTTGCAGTTAAAATATGAAAGTTGTTATGTAAGGTCATCATAATTTCAGAAATCACTGATCCAGGCCTCTACACTTCTCAGTTTCTCCAGAAGAAAAGACCAAGGCAAACATTCAAAAGTTATTGTGCACAGATTTGCCAAAATACCAAAGTCTGCGGTCAAAAGTCAGGGATCTCATTATGAACTCAATCATTTCTCATCACATTTCTCATCAATACCAACTCTCAGAGGCTAAATTAACAATTACATTTACAGGTATGTGTAATTTACTGGGTTTTGAGTCAAAATGAAGCCTGCAAGGATTTTTCTCTTTTGTTTTATCTGTGCAAACATCAGTGTGTCTGGTTTGATCTGTTGGTGGATAAACAGCTTCTGCTGGATGTTTATGGTTGCTGTGTGTGTCTGTAGTTTATGAGTGAAGCGTTTCTTCATTTTCTGTCCTGATAATATGAACCTCACAATCTTCTGCTCCACACCAAACATCTTTACACTGAAATGAAGTGAATCCATCAGCAGTCAAATAAGAGTCAGAGGTCAAATATGATTGACAGCTTACTACATTAAATAACACAGAGTAGATACAGATATCAAATCCAACACTCATGCAACATTTCACTCATGCAGGACCAGAATTCATTTTAAGATGTAAGATCAGCAAAAGCTTAATCGTTTTCTTGACTTCCTCTGCTAAAGGAAACAGCGACAGAGTTAGAATCCTGTTGAGAGAAGATTCAACAGATCACAGTTCAATCGTGTTTTCAGACATTTTAAGCATCGCTATCGTGGGGTTTTCAGTGAACCGATGAAGAAAATGTCTCTGAAATCAGTTTGGTTCTGTTTGTGTTTGTGGCGTCTGGTTGGTGAGTTTGAAATGTGTTTTTATGATTTCAGTTGCTTCTTTTCTGGTAACATGCATTAAATTACTGGTTAAATTAGTCAGAGAGGATCAACACTGTTATTCTCATATAGAAATGTCAGATCAGGTTTGAATTCAGGTCTGAAGTCAGTTATTAGGGATTGATTCAATAAAATAAATTTGAAGCTCAGATACTGATTAGTTTTAGTGGGACATTAAACATTAAAGTCTTTTTTAGTTATTGTTCCACATATAAATCTATTTGTCTTTTCATTAACATCTTTTGTCTTTGTACTGCTGCAGAATATTAACTTCACATTTAATCGATTAAACGTATTTTAGTGAAGCGTCATCAAACCAACCTCAAGTGATTTTAAATGTTTTATTAACAAAGTTCGGGAGGAGCACGTTCAGATAATTATCCTAATTAACAAGATAAGAGATATATACACACACAGCAGGCTTACCTATGTTCCTTGACGGTTTTCCAGCATCCTTCCACCACCTCATGTCCTCGCTTCTAAATATTCCTATCCCAAGGTGGCAGGGGGGAGTACTCTGGGTTCAGCCCTCCCCTCGGACAGCACGCCAAATACACATAACCTTTACTCTATTTAATTATATGTAAGTGTGAACTCGTGAGAGTTTAATCTGTGAAAAACTCTGTTCTTCAGGTGTGTTTGGTTTAATGGAAGTGAAGTATGTGAAGGAGGGACGTTCAGTCACTCTAAACTCCGGTCTTAATGAAATGAAGGATGATGATGTGATTCAGTGGAAGTTTGGAATTGAAAACACTTTAATAGCTGAAATCAATAAACAGAACAACAGAATCACTGTATATGATGGTCCTGATAGGAGATTCAGAGACAGACTGAAGCTGGACGATCAAACTGGATCTCTGACCATCATTAACAGCATGACTGAACATGCTGGAGATTATAACCTACTCATCAACAGTCTGATCAAGAGTTTCAGTCTCACTGTCAATGGTGAGTTAAATATCAGTTTCACCTGTTTAGTATTTTAATCACCACAAACATTATTAATCCAAATTCCATTTTGCTTCTGTTGTTTACTGATATTCATTTCAAAATAAAATGTCAAACTATTTACTTTTGTAAATGACTGTCTAAATCGATGTTAAACCCTGTTTATGTTTATTCTGCGTGTCTGTGTTTGGTGATACAGGAGCAAAGTATTTGTCAGTAGAAACTGGAAATTCAGTTACTCTAAACTCTCTTCTTAATAAAATTAAGAAGAATGATGTGATTGAGTGGAAGTTTGGATATAATGGAGAGACTTTAATAGCTCAAATCGATAAACGGGCTGACAGATTCACTGTATTTGATGATGCTCTTTACGGGAGATTCAGAGACAGACTGAAGCTGGACAAAAAAACTGGATCTCTGACCATCATAAACATCTCAACTGAACATGATGGACTTTATGATCTACGGTACAAACATTTCAGCAAGTTTCCTTTTATTATCATTGTCTTCGGTGAGTTAAATATCAGTTTCACATGTTTTATTTATTACAGCTATATCTAATAAATTATCTCATCATGATTAATTATTTAAAATAACTAATTACCTTAATTTTTTACATTAACAGCCAGGTTTATATTTAACTCTGTATATCAGATTCGACTTATGTTGAGTCATGGTTCCTGTCAATGTTTCTTCCTCGTCTGCTTGAATATCTTCATTCATCCTCAGCTGTGATCCGATTGGTCCTCTCTGCTCTGGTGGGCGTGGCTACTGTCATTCTTCTGGTTTATGACATCAGATCCAGAAGACCTGAACAAAATCATACACGTATTCCCTCGACACAAACCTAAATTACGATGTAATTTCTCCTATAACAATTTTGTTTATCATTTATTAATCTTCATTTTTTTTTGTAATGGCTTTATATATTCATATGCTAGTTTTGATGTTCATTTATCAGCAACTAATTTTCACACTACAAGATTATTTGAGAGCGTAAAGTAACATTCACGTATACATGCTCAAAGTTACAAAAGTGAGTGTTATGATAAATACCATGATTCATCAATATTACAATGCCTTAATTTTTAAACTGTTTTTTACAATCTTACGTTTGTTACAATATTATCTTTCATATTTTATGGGGCTTTAAAGCACTTTAAAATGTGCCTGTCTTGTAGTTTTATTGTTGTTCATATCAGACGTCTCTAATACAGAAGCTCTTCAACTGGCTGAACATGAATACATGAAAACAGAAGTGCATTTTTCTTTCTTATTTTATAAAATCTAATTTGAAAGCTTTATTGTTCATATTTCCCTCAGATACATAAAACAAATGAATAAAGAGACACTCAGATCTCTCTTTACTACTGCTGTGCATTTGTCATCTGTATTTGCTTGTCTTTATCAATAAAGATTTTATTCACTCTGAGGTCTCTCCATGTTTTATTACATTTATTATGGTGAGCTCCTCCTGGAGGAATACAAAGTTTATTAAGCTCATTCTAACACTTGCTAAAAAGTTTTTTTTTGTAATGTACTGAATAACGTCTGCTACATTAATGTAATGAGTTCTTTTTCCCATATTGACTCTTTTTTTCACGAGGTTCTCAGAAGCGGAAGTCAGCATAACATCGGTAAACTTCTACAGCAGATTTAGTTTTTGCGGTTTCATTTGATCCAACATCAAAAGAAAAATCCATGACTTTTTCAAATGAGTAAAAAGTAGAGAGAGATTACAGCAGTCAGAAGAGAGAAAGGTGTCAAAATCACGGTTATTCCCTCAGAAACACCCTCACAGCAGTGTTTACTACAGTAAACAATGTTGTACATTATTTTTATTTTTTTTGTAATTTAATGCAAAGGTAATATAGGAGGCTCTCAGCGCTTCACAGGCTTTTTTTGTCCCGTTGGAGACGTTTGGGCACTAAAATGTTGAATGTTTTGAGTGTTTTTTTTAAAGCATCGTTTGCTACTGTTATATACATAACATACAGTTAATATACACTGTAAAAAAAATTCCGTAAAATTTACGGTAAAATTTGAAATGTAATGCAGGGAATTCTGGGAATGCCAATTTACGGTTATTCACTGTAAATTATACCGTATTTTTCACTTCCAAAAACGGTACACTACCGTAAAGTTACATGTAATGTCCAATACAGTTTTTCACCGTATATAGTACAGGAATTTACCGTTAACCATTTGTTATGATTTAGAATGTATGTAAAACTGACATCTTAGAGACATCTATCAGATGTTTGTACACAGCAGATGCTTTCCAGAGAGATGTGCATGTGCGCTCTCGGTGCACTGATCACTATAACATATTTCTGCTTGAACACGTTATTAAAAATAATGTAGAGTGTTCAGTACAGGTTGACCTATGCTTATTTGTTAAAGTTACTGTACAAGTGAGCTTTACGTACTTTTAAGTTGTAAATCTGCAGTGACATTTTTGCAAAGTATGTTTCTTCACAATGTTCTTCGTCATCATCATCATCATGTTCATTGGTGTGTACAGCTGTGGATGTGAGAAACATGACTCTCTCCTGGTACAAAGGAAACACTTTTTTGTCCAGCATAAGAATGTCTGGTCTCGGTGGCGACCTTTCTTTATATCTCTGGGTGGAATATCAGGATAAAAACACCTACAGCTGTGTGCTCAACAATCCCATCAGCAACCAGACATCTCAACATCACTCAAGTGTCACAATTGTTATGGTACGTCAATGGCAATATTAATGTTTATTCACTGAGCTGATCTCAGTTTTGTGCTTTTATTCCTCAGACTCTGAAGCTGTGATCCGATTGGTCCTCTCTGCTCTGGTGGGCGTGGCCACTGTCATTGTTCTGGTATATGACATCAGATATCGGACTGTGCCATCTAGAGTTTCATGCCAAAACTCTGTCTTTCACTACACGGTGTCACTAAACAAAGCAACCACGATAGCTTGTGAGAGACGTGATGAAGCTCATTCAACTAGAACAAAATTATTCCATTATTTCATTGTATTAAATTTTCTAATAACTATTTTACTATATTGTATGTTTATGCTGAAATTCCTAATACTTCACTGCTGGAAAAATTGAGTGTCAGTCCAGAGTCTACGAGGCTCTGCTCAAAACGACATCTCGTAACTGAATATCTTCGTCAACTCTGATGTCACAGCCATCTTCAAGTGTGACCGTCTCACAAATGCAGTGTTCAGAACAATCACATATCACTTTCATACATACAGTTCTAGCAGGCGGTCTGTTCCTGCTCCATAAAGCCACTAGAGAAACTCTGAAATCAGTCTGAGAGAAGAAACAATTGAGACATCTCTATAGGTACTGAAGATTAACATGAGATTGGCAGAAACTGTCTGTGTTATGTCCCCTTTAACCATTTCCATACTGAATTGTTGAATCAGTTTATAGTTTGAGATATAAACACTCACTCGACACACTAAACCGAATATAAAATTGTTGATTTGATTTGTTCAAATCTTCATTCTGTCATGTTTTCCAGCTATTCTGCCTGTTCCTGTCATCAGCATGGATACAGGTCTGTAGTTTTCTAATAGTGCTGGATCTAGAGTGGGTTTCTTAAACAGTGGGTTATCTGAGCCTGCTTAAATGCTGTGGGAAATGCACCGTGAAGACAGGTGTTGGTAGGTGTTTGTGGTGTGGAAATTTGGATGCTAATGGTTGTTGTTTTATTTATGAAGAATGTGGATAAGTCGTCAACTGTTAGAGCTGCTGAAGGTGGGGGAAATGTTATGAAAAGCATGCAAGAGTCAGAATATTTCATTTTGTTAGGGTATAATTTCATTTTAGCAGTAGAAAGAGAGGACAGAACTTATCCAACCAAGGTCAGTAAAACCAATTAATTACCTGATCTATGATTTGCTGCAGTAAACACTTGCTTGAGGTCAAACGAGGCAAGCAGAATGTGGAAGTAAGCAGCCTGAGGTTTTTCAAAGTGGATGTTGAAATCTTCAAGTACTACGAGAGGAGTACCATCCTCAGGGAAGAATGAGAGTAACACATCCAACTCCTCCAAGAAGTTACCTTGCTGACCTGGGGCACAATAAACAACTACAAAGTGTCTTTTAATTGGGCGATTCAAAGGAGCTATTGTCACACAAAGATGGTAAATGATTAAATGTCCACTCATTGAAGATGAGCAGACCAGTACCCCACTCATCTCAGTTAGACAAGGGGTGTGTGAAAAAGTTAAATTAGTGGAGAGGACTGCAGGTGTGGCAGTTTTGAGGTGTGAGTTTTGACTCACACAGGAGTAACGCAATTTCAATTCTCTGTGTGTATGTGCTGTACATGTGGAAGAATTGACAATAAAGCAGACTTGACTTGACTTGACTTGAGACCTGAATGACCAGTAATAGATGTAATGAAGTCTGATTTGTTTACAGCACTCTGCTAATTCCAGAGACCAACAGGAAATGATAGTAATGTACTACAGGACTACATGACACTACTACTCTCATGTACTCATGTACTCTCATGCATACTCCGATGCATGACATGTGACTTAAGTGTGTTAGTAATGGTAGGGATTTACAAACACATGAAGACAGATCACTAAAGCAGACATATGACAACAAGCTGTATAAAAAGGTAAGAAAGGTAAAAAAAAAGGAATACTCAAGTGCCTTGCCAGTGTCCTTGCTCAGTGGAGTCACGCAGGTAGAGTCGCTGGGCCTTACACTCTTCGGACTTCACGCGATGAGGGTTTCGCACAAGGGCTACCGCGGTATGCTAACCAATTATATACAGTACTCACCTGATATGTCGTTATTGAATTCAGCATGCCACGCCTTACTGTTTAGCAAACGCAAATTCAGCATGTGTTTACCATGGTAACCACAGCAAACAAAACAATGTTTCCTAGCAATGACCCCTGTGCTAAAATCTGAGAAAAGAAACAAAAACACTGACAGTCTGCTGCCGCCTTCTGTTGCTTGACTGCTTCTCATAATGAGTACTTGCTAACT